GATGTCAAAATTCATACCCACATCAAAACCAATGGTACAAGGTGCACGACCCATTTTAGTCTATTTTAGTGGGGATTGGGATGTTCACTGGGAGTACGGGCTTTTGACCCATGGCCACATGGACGTTTTTACTCTAAGATTCCCACCAAAAAGGAGACCCTCGCCGCCTGCCGCAGGAGGAGCCCGGAGTGCGCCAGCGGACGGCCAGTGGCAGCAGTGTGGAGCTGGCCAATCGCCAGGTGGCGCAACTCATGGGGGCTGCACCCTACCCGGGTCAACGCGCCTGGGACCCATGAAAAAACATGAAAAGGACATATAAAAACCACCCAAGACACCAAACAAGACTCGCGATTTGTAACCCTTGGTGGTGTGCACGCTTCAGCACTCTGCATTAGCTGTGAAGGGCACACAAAGGGAGCTACCAGAGGCGTCCGCCCATGATACTAGACGGGCCTGTCGATTTTGGCGTGCATGGGCCGTATCAGTCCGTCGTTGGACGGCCCCTTGAAATCAAGCCGATTCCCAAAGGCAGCCGCCCGCTCTTACGATTGGTCTTGGGAGGCCTGTTCATTTGAATAGCACACGTGATAGATGTCTTTTCGGTTTCCCGTTAAACCCAAAAGGCTACCTTCAAAGAAATCGCGCACCCATTTGATACTTGGCATTGGTCTTGACTCGACTTAGTCGGCCTGCGAGCTCAGGGAAGACCCCCGTCTTCTTCGTCGGGGGCTTTCTGGCTGACAACCGGCGCGCCTGGGAGATTATTTCCAGGCGCCGACACCACGCACACTTGGCTCCGTGCGTTTGACGGAAAGGCACTGAACCCTCAAAGTTGGATTTTGGTTTCACATTGGTTCTCCTAGACAAGCCCCGGAGGGTACCAACTTCCAAAAAATGACATACCTACAGTAACCCGAATACATGCGTACCTATCTTCCTACCTACCTACCTACCTACCTACCTACCTACCTACCTACCTACCTACAGACAGACGGACACATGCACCCATACACCCAGACACACATACACATACATTAATTACATCAATTGCATCAATTACATACCTTACAATTGTTACATACATTGCATACATTACCTACGTTACATACATTACATACGTAACATACGTCACTAACATTGCAGGTATTACCTACATCACGAGTGTTACATACATTACATGCACTACATGTATTGCATACGGTACGTACTTTATTAATCATCCACCACATCAGTTGTGTCCATTACATCCATTACATGCATTACACACGTTACACACACATTACATACATTGCATGCATGTGTGCATGTCATTCATGTCATACCTCACATTACACTACGTTACAAGACATTTGGCCACATTACATTACAGAGCATTAGATTAACTACATTTCATTGCATTGCATTACCATATACTACATTACATTGCATTGCACTACATCACATTACATTAGAGAACACGCATGGACACCCATGTAGACGCAGATACATAGATACATGGATAATAATACATAGATACATAGATACCTACTTAGATAGAGACAATTACAAGGATACAAACAAACATAAATGCATGGACACAAACGGACAAACACACATACAAACACATGTATACGTGTGCATGTTGACACTATATGCCAATGTAGTAGTAAAGAGGAACCTATCGTAGAACACCTGAAGGTACCACACCTTTCTGACCTAGCGAAGTAGTATTGACATACTGGGTGCTAGGGAGATGTCACGGTAATTACAGGAAATCGTACTCTAAAGACACAAGGTAGACTGCACAAGCAAACACTGTTCACCCACTATAATGTCAACTGGAAGCACTGGCAGCTTTGTTTTATTCTGTTTTTGCGGCTGAACTCACATTTGGTTACCTGCTTTGCGATCATGCGGCCTCCAGGTAAATGTTTTGACCTTCTTGGGACTCCTATTTACACCCCTGAAAATCACTACACCTCGGTATTTTTTGTGGAGACCTTCCAAATGCTCGAATAGACTTTGGAACAACTTGCCTTGCACCAAAAATGGTTGTGTGGTTGGGGTCCTGGGTGCAGTTGTATGAAACCAATGTGGAGCCAAACACGGCACCCATCAAAGTACACGCACCACTCCATGGTGAACAGACCCTGGTGTGTCGTGATTGCTGCAGGTCCTTCCGGAACTCCAAATTGAAAGCACCTTCTGGAGTTCTTTTTTTTGGAGGCAAGGGTGTGGAGTCCACTGGTTTTGGAAGGGTGGCGTGACCGCCATCTTCGGTTGACACATGCGGTTTCAGACATGGGCAAAATTCGGTCAGGTCTTTTCGGAACCTGGACTGCGGCCCCGCGCTGTTCTTGCGGCATGCGGACTTCCTGGGCGCGCTGGGCTGCCTGGCCGCCACCATCGACGAGACCGTGGCATCACCCCGCGGCCAGTGAAAGCGGGCGGAGCGGGCGGAGCGAGTTTGGCAGAGCCGGGACCTTTGGTCCGAGGGCGCTCAGAAGCCTTTGGAATTTCATGCCTGGGTCTAATAATTAGGTTTTGTTGAGCGATTTTGGCGGATGCACTTGGTCCGAGCAGTTTCGAGGTGGTCTCCGTGTTTGTGCCGAAAAGAAGCCCCTGCTTTCATGTTGTGTTTTAAGTTTTGCAGCTGGATAGTAAGAATCAAGGATCAGTTAATGCACCTGCAATGGGGAAAGTTTACCTGCCTTCTGCGTAAGGATATTGCGCCATTGGAGAAAGTGTGTGTGTGTGTGTGCTTTCTCCCATCGACTAGCAACAAGTTAAACATATGCATGGCAACACAGACCAAACATGAGTTCCTTTCCAACTTGGGTGTGTCGTAGGTTCCACATGAGTTTCTTTGGTGCATGTTGCTTGGATGTTAGGACTTTAACTTGTTGCCAACTAATGGGTTTTCCATGAAACCACTAAAAGTTAAACTTTTAGCAGGGGAGCAGAAAGCAACCAAGTTTTGTGGTAGTGTATTTCACGCATGGGGCACGAATAAGGATGAGACAACCGATTTCAGAATATTCTCTCGGGCTTGCTTTTGTGATCCAGTTGTGAGAGTGCTCAAGCCCTACACCATCATCCGCTGTAGGGGATGACGCGGGCACATGCGCCCCAAATTATCCCTATGGGATCCACAGACCAAGTTTCCACGTGAGTTTGGGACAGAACTGAGGTTTCTTTTTTTTTTGGGCTTATTTGTTTGTAGTTGGCCTATTGGAGTAGTTGGTGCAGAATGTACAAACCTCTGTACAAGACCTGGATGGGCTATCGAGGCCCCTTGCAAACCAAGGTCAAGTCAAGTCAGTTCTTTTTCCGGGAAGCTGCTTTGCCGCTTTGGCGAGTTGGTTGTTTTTCACTTCGGGATCGGCAAAATCAGACTGCCGCTCTTCCAAGCTGATTGCGACGCTTTCTGAGCGCTTCAAATGGGAATGTGTCAGTAGGATGCCCTACAATAAGCATTTTGTCAAGTTGTCTCGGATTCCGTAAAGATTGTGTGTGTGTGTGCGTTTTTGTGCGTTTTCTTCAGAATGGACCCAAGTGGTTCAACCTGCTTCGACACGTACCCATTTGTGCACAATATGTTTCAGTTTGTTTAGCCCGCCAACTGGACTGGCTAGGCTGGCGGTGTGGCTTGGACGGCTTCCGGATTTCAAAGGTCAGGTCTTCATGGCGTAAAAACCGCCTTCAACGAGTATTCAGGGCGTCCGTTTGTTTGAGGCGATTGATGATTTGCCATGGTCTTTGGACCAGAGTGATCATTTTAGGCGAGTACAAGATTGTATGCACTTATGCGCACAAACATATTGTATGATATATATATATATATAGATGATGCAATGCAATGTATTTAGAATTTAAAGGCTCCTTAAGCAGACCACAGATCATCACCAGCTCCCGTGCAAACACCTTGCAGGCACACCTGCGAACAGAGTGTGCCTCTTATACATCGGTTGGTTGGCTGGCTCAAAAACTGTTGGCCCCCGCCCCGATGTAGACTGTGGCCAACCAAGGCCTCGATGGATATAGTTGGATGGTCTTCGGGGCAGTGGGTGGTGTCCCTCGGGAGTCAAAAGATCCACCGCGTTTGGGCCGGCAACCACCAGCCAAGCCGTTGTCCAGTGGCGGGAGTTCCCGCCATGTGAAGCGCTCGCTTGAGGGAACCTCCCAGAAGGTTGCCAGCTTGCTGGGAAGATGCAGAGCAGAAAGAGGGCAGCGACACGTGGTTTCAAAGGGACGGGTCTCAACATGCAACATCCTTAAGAAGTCATGATTGCAGAGTGCACGCTCGTCTTACGGCTGTGCGCGACAGATATGCGCTTCAAACTGTTTGGAAACGCATGGATCATCCGTTCATCTTGGGATCACTGGGATTCCAGTGATCCCACCGTCTCACGGGTCCCCAGGGTCTCAAGCTTGACCCTAGCGGACAAACGCAAGGGTTCTCCACCAGAGCCGGATCACTGGGATCACTAGGCTCCATCCTCCGACCACCCAGGCAATGTTCAGGAGCCACCACCCCGCAAAGCCCCCCAAAAGTAAGCCTTTATCACAGCTGGACGTGTTATTCTTGGAAGACTGCCTTGTTGGAAGCACGTACGAACCCCCCAAGAGAGTGTAGGTTTCTTCAAGAGGTATGCCAGATTGTTCCAATCAAAAAGACAAAGAGGACCGCACTGGACCGTCCGGGAGTTTGGGTGGGGAGCCTGAGTCTTTGGGGCTCGATAGGTATGGTCATCAGAATCATCAGGCCCTCCTAGGAGTCCTGGAAGCAAAAGCCCGTTTCATTGGAGTTATTAGAATTGATCATGGACCACTAGATAGGGGAAATCTAGACAACCTTTGGACATACTGTGGAATGATGATTCCCCTGTAAATACCAACAAACAATGGTTTCAACCAGGGTTCAAAGTGGTGCAGGATTTCGTCCATCCACAGTATGTACGGGTTCCTACTGTATTCAGGGCACCATGACTATGGACCATGACCCAGTGGACCGAGCTCAGGTGAAGCAGGCAAAGATGGAAGCCGGAAAGGCCCGTTGGCGCGGTGCTTCTGCACTCAAGAGCACATCATGGAAAGGGTACAACACGGATGCGATGCAACCTTTAGGATAAGTAGAGCACTCACCAAGTGAGCCTGTTGCCCGTTTGGACTGGCATGTTCCTAATTCCATTTGGGTCCATGCCAGGTCTTTGGTGAGATCGCCTTGATGAGCGACGACTGCAAGAGGACCTGGCGCTGGGCTGAAGAGCGAACCACATGATTCGATTGCTGGAAGGGTCATGTGTTTTCCAACACTCTGTTGAAATGCCAGCAAATTGCAAAGGGTATTTGGTGGTATTTTGGGAATACACAGATCCATTAGGAAGTTACCGCTAGAAGAGTTTATTGTGCTACTGAGGTTAGTTTCTTGATGGTCCTGATTGGATCCTCATTTCAATCCCCAAATTCTGGAAAACAATCTTAGCGGTACACAACAAGTTGAAACTTGTTTTTGCCACTCAGTGCGCATTGTTTGTTTTTTTGCGCGGGGAGACTGGGCTCTAATCTTCTCTCCACTATGGGTTGCGACTTGCTGAGCTGCACACAGGTCCACCAGATGCGTTCCTGGTGCGTTCTCTCACTAGGGTGTGTATCAACGTCAGAGTTGTTAGGGGCGTCTTTGCTTGAACCAATCTCTTGGATGAAGGCCATTGGTTTCCCTCGTGGTTTTCCTGCAACTCTCTGGCTTCTCTCTGCTCCCCAGATTGGAGTTGATCTAAACGAAGCCGCTGGCGTGCAAAGACCCTAGGAGGAGCACCCAAACAGGGTGTGTCGAAACAAAGGAGACCCCAAAATGGAATGGCTTTAGAGGAAAAGCCGTCGTGGCCTTACGACGCGGCAGCTGACCAAGAAGAATCATTTTTCGGCTCGTGGGCACTTATCTATGCTATAGGGCCATGGTGGGTTGACCTTGTCGCGATACATCAAAGAGTCACTTGTTTGCCAAACAACTGTGGCTAGCAAGTAGGCGGTTAAAAGAACATCAAATTCTTTTCAGGAGTTTGGCTGCTCTTGCGACTTCGTGGTTTTGGGTTGCTTCCTTCTTGCTGCCTGTGTGCTTGTCTCAAAGCAGAGCAGAAGCTGCCACTTGCCGGTGGACAACCACAAAGCTGACTGTGTTGCGTGACCACAGACTAAACACGGACCAGAGCCTGACCATATATGTGTTTGCGTACCCTAGATGTTGGGCCAAGATGGCTTCTGACGGGAGCCTATTTTGGTAGACGACTGCCCTTTCGGAAAGGCCGTCTCGCTGTCCATGTCCATGATTGCTATTTCCAGGTGGACAAAGGTGAACAGCAGTCCGTAATTATCAAAAAGCTGTTTGTGCATGTTAGGGCGTGGTTTCTTTGCACCTTGAGCTTTTGGGGCAACCCGAGTTTTGCCCGTGTTCCCATGTCGTTTGCAAGTGAGAACAGCCCCACCACATTTGCTTGTTGGGGACAAAGTGGGGCAGGCCTTCCCCAATGCGTGTAGCTACCAACATGATAGGTGAGCCTGAAGGTATCAACGATGTAAACCAAGATAAATCATCATGGAAGCTGAAGGTAAGCATGGGTAAAGCGTCATGCAACAAGGATTTGGTTCCCAACTGTGGCCTGCTGGAATCAGTGTCTTTTTGGCGAGCTCTAGGGGATATTGCCAGGTTCTTTGCGAGATGTCGCCTTGTGTTTTCCAACCTTTGATTGGGAAGGCGTCATTGCAGGTTTTGGGAATTCATGCCAACCCCACGGACAACTGGATTCTTACAGTGGACTTCAAGCGGAATCAGTGGATTTCAGTTCGTTTAGGTTGCAAGGGAGAACCTCACTTGGGGTCCGGGTTCCCCTTCCAGTCTCCCTGAAGTCCCCCCTTTGATTGATTTGAATTGACACCAGGCAGGAAGCCCACCATTTGGCGGGCCTCATTGTGGCACAAACCCGTTTGGCCTTCCTCAAAGCTTGGACTCGTTGGGTGGGGATCCTTGCGGTAGGTGCTGAACAAGAATGGCAAGATGAAGCCTGGCAAATTCTTCGCAAGCTTAACCAGACCCCGACAAGAAACGGGCTTTGGCTAGGCTAGAGGGTGTTAGTATCCTCGAGCTAGTGTTGAAACCATTTAAAAACCACCAGTGGGTGCGTGACTGGCCCTGAGGGAACCATGGAATTGACCTATTCTACGGTTTGCCCGGCAATTATCTTCGCGGCGAAGACACGTAGCAAATCGCCCAGTTTCGCAGTGGCGCCCCGTTTCTCCCTTCCTTCTGGGAAGGGATCCCCAATTTGACATCAGCCAGCCACAAAAGCGGTATCCTTGTTTTCCCATTGGAAGGCGTCCTCCCAACAAGTCATCCAATCAACAATTCTCCGCGACATTCTCTCGTGAGACACTGGACCTCCCCCCACCTCGCCCCTCCCACGCGAGAGATTGCAGGAAGGGCCGTTGCACGACCCTCAAGCACACAGAGCTTTGGTCCTTGCACCGGGATGACTACCGCTGGCCAGGGCCCTCGAATCACTCGCAGACCGATGCTCAGATGGGGTTCCAAGCAAGTTCGATTTCGACTCCTTCCAAGTCAACTCTCAACTACCAACAAAAGCTTGCTCTGTATTACCCACCACTGAAGGTCTGAGGTTTGGTTTCCCAAACTTGAAATGTTGCTTGTTTTCCATAGCATGGAGTTGTAGATGGGCTTTGCGGGGGGGTTCCCAGCAGTCCTCTACCGTACATGCCAACATGTCCCGTTTTGTATGTTGATGTGCATCCTGCATCCTCATGCTGGTGGCGTTTGGTGGCGTTAGGGTTCATGTGTCCAAGAAATTGTTCCAGGCAGTGTCGCCTTCGCAGGGCGTTATTTCCATGTCAGTCCTAGTGTCGTCAAAGGGATGGCAGAATTTATTGATACTCAGCACTCCGGGTGGCTCCAGTAATCGCAGATCGAAGCAAAGTAGCAAGATTGGTTTGCTTCAAGATGATCGAAGCAGGGTGGAAACTCGGTGCAGGCATTCCTTGGGTTCCCATTGGTGGGCAAATTTTGATCCTGGTAGTTTGTGCCGGTCGGGTTTTAAGAGCAACCCTGGCAGAGCCTTTTGTCTTAAGAATTTCTGGATCCGAAACATTCTTTTGACATGCCTCTCAGGTGAATGATGCTCAAGGCATTTGAGTCGACGCAAAAAACAAAAGAGCAAACAAAGACTAATTACATCATCCAAAGCATTCACGTGTGCTTCCATTGTGGATTACTCCCATAGCAAAACGTGTGCGGTCAAACCGAGGTGCTTGCATCAGGTGGTGCAACCGTTGTTCTGGGCAGCCAAGATGTGTCTTTTCTTCCAGTATTGACCATTCGACAGGCAGGACGGCAGACGTGTGTCTCTTTGCTCCACGTTGCGCTGGCACCAACGCAAGCATGTGTCGGATGATTTGGTGCCATTTTACTCGGGGATAAGGCGAGATCACATGACGCAGGACAAATGAATGTGTTATTTCCGGCTAGAGAGTGGACAGATGTGTATGTTTTCAATAGTTTCCTGCAAACTCACCGCACCCAATGCTCACAGAAGGGAGTTGTATGAGCTGCGCCGGTTTCAACATGTTCCACGAGAAACACGTGTCATGATTTGCGAGCAGTTAGGACTATGGCCACTCTACATGAGGATTGCTCTACAGCACGGCAAGCAACTAGCTGGGAACCAGCTCGGGTTCCACAGAGTCTGTATAACTATATTATTTCCAGTTTGGGTTTGTTTGAACATCACCTTTTGGGCCCCTGCAAGGTGGGTTTCCTTTGGGGATGATGTTTCTACTGGGACATGTAGGGTGGCGAGATATGTGGCACACCGCAAACCAACATGGAGACCAAGACCCCTTTGCAGAGGCAACTCAGTTTGGGAGATGGATCTCTTTTCGGATTCCACGTGAACTTGCGTTAAAGCAACTTGTGGGATGGCTGGATTCATCCGAAGCGAAGGTCGGTTGGCATGTCCCAGCAGAACACGGTTCGTGAGCGGGCGGCCTTTCTGAAGTGCGTCGAGGAAGGTTTACTGGAGGACAGGGCGCGAGACCTCAGCGCGTTGCGCTCATTGCCAGACCGGTGATGCTCGAAATTGGGACCCTCTCCATGCAGGTGCTCTTGATTTCCCGTGGCTTTCCTTTTGGTCCATCGAAGAAGGGGTTCCTTAGTTTGAGACCCTGAAGGGCCCTTTCGGATTGCCTTTGTGTTCCCTTCCGACCAGCAAGACTTGTGTGTTCTTCGATCTTTGGGGACGACTTCCCAAAGCCAACTGTGAAGAGCGCCAGTTCTTTCAGCCGCCAGAGCTTTAATTAAGCCAGTGCCAGTTTGGCTGGGAACATATCACACAGACCCAGTGTAGACGGATTGTGACAAACGGGTTCCGATCGTTTGCGCCCAAGGACAATGTGTGTAGCATCCGAAAGGAACCGGTTTAGAACCCATTTTAGGTAGGCCAGAACACATCTCGGAATGGCAGCTCCGAGGACGTTACTTTCTGCGGTGCCGCAATACTCATCGCAACAACGTCAAAATTCACGGTCTACAGCCGAAACGAGGGTGGCAGTGGGTACTTATGCTGACTTCCTCCCCACCACAAACAGCAAACACGTAGTGCTTCTAAAAACATCCAATGCTATTGGGGGGCACAATACCTGACAGCCATGTAGACTGTGATCGGCATTCATGCCAATGGTGCTGCTGCTCTTTGATGGCAGGTGTGCCTTTCGCCCTCGGCATTCTTAGTTTGATGGTTCCTTTTGAAACCGCCGCCTAAGAAAGGCTCCAGTTGTCACAGCCATGAATGAGAATCCTTTAGGACATGAAAGCAGTGGACCTACAAGCAATGGCTGGGTCTCTCACAGAGGACGGGTTCTGGTGCTCCGGAGTTTGTACATGTGGCAGAGTCTGGTTGCTTGGGTATCCCTCAGCGTGGCTATTTGGCTCGGAGAAAGCAAGACAAGGGGAACCACCTCACATGTCACGTGGCACATCCCAAACAAAGCTCTTTGCAAGGGTGCGCAAAACTGGTTGAATCGACCAGGCCCTGGCACCACTGAACAGAGAAACCCACAGATAAAGGATGTTGTTTAAAGTTGAAACGTTTAAACAATGTTTGAGCATGTTTAAACGGGGCGGGGCAACCCTGGCTCTTTTCCTCTTGGTTGCCTTTGAGCATTGCGTGAAAGAACAGCCCGGCATAACGCATGGCCTGCAGAGGTTCGAACCTCCAACCCATAAAGTTCACCAGCCACCACGGCTTGAACGGCTTGAACATTGAATTGGACACCATTCCACCACAGACACAACTGAAGATCAAGCCCCTCCAAAGCTCCACCGAAAGCCCCCCAGGCCCAGTTTGGGTCCACATCCTCTAAATGATGAGGTGGAAACAACAGGGTCCCGAGCGCGAAGCAAGCTTCTTTTGAAAGGATCCCTGAGAATTTAATTCACAAGCCTGTCCCAGCCCTCAGGCCCCTTGAAAAGGCTGGACTTGGCATCGGTCCCAAAAGTTGTTGTTGTTTTTTCTCGTACCCCCTCAAAGTGCCAATTTTCCAGAAAATCTCCGAGCAGGACAGCTACATCGGGGAGCACAAGATCCTTGAGCAGGGCCAGGAAGTGGATCGTGTGATCTTCGTGAAGAGCGGCTTCTGCAAGGTGGCGCCCTGGCGACAACCGCCGAGCCCGTGGGCTCGTCTAATGGGAACCGCAAAAAACTTGCTGGTGCTCAGTAGGGAAAGTGGAAATGAACCCAGGGGTCCCCTTAAAGGCAACCACAAGGGATGGTTTATCAGGGTCATTCCCTCATTCCCTGCAGAGCACCAGCAAGAAAAAGGTGCTTCATGTTCCCTTTAAAGCCATAAACCTGCCAAAAAACCACCGTACCCTTGAAAAGACACCCCAGTGTGGATCCTAGCCCCTGAATCCCTTGTTTGCTTTCTCACTAAAGGATTCAGCGGATAGCTCCGCAGTAGTACATACCTGAAGTGCATTCAGGCAGAAAATCGCAACTTGCACAAACAAACTTGCGCGCAGCACTCGTGGAGAGCAACGCGCAGACTTGCACAGAGCAATTTGCACAGAGCACATTGCGAGTTCTCAGCGCAGAGCAACTTGCACAGGGCTATGGTGCAGAGCAACTTGCACAGAGCACTTGCGCAGAGCAACTTGTGCAAGGCGCTTGTGCAGGGCACTTCCGAAAGGCAACTTGCAAAGAACATCTTGGCACAAATTCTGCGCAGAGCGACTTGCACAAAGCAAAATGCGCAGGGCACTCGCAGAGATCGACGTGCAGTCTTGCGCAGAGCAACTTGGGGCAGAAAACAAGTGTGGAGACAGCGACGCAACAACAACTTGAGCGCAGCACCTCACACCGAGCAGTCGACGCGAGCCACTCCAACAGCGCCACCTACCTGCGCAAAGAAGTTGCACAGAGCAACTGGCAACTGCGCAGAGCAATTTGAGTAGAGCATCTTTCGGGCAGCATCGTGCAGCGCGACGCTGCGCAGTCTACTTGCAAAGCTGCGCTTGCGCAGAGCCAAGTCTGCAGGTTCTTTAGCTGTGAAACGCTCTCATTTTTATTGGGGGTCTTGCTCAGCTCAATGCAACTGCCACTGTTCTTTACGCAGTTCAGGCCGCGATGCGGCTGATTGGCGAAGTTTCGATGCTGGCCACTTTCTCTGCAATGGGCTTACTCGGACGCATGCCGGGATCGCATTTTCCTGTGATGGGTTGATCGTACAGGCTGCAACCATCGCTCTGCATGAGGTTTACGGCATCGCCCGTGAGGTCACTTCGGGCAAAGGCTTCCGGCGGGCAGCAGATCTCGGAAGGCCCTTTTGGCCCATAAGCCGAACTGGCACGACCGCGCCGCACTTGCCATGCGGCTGTGCCTCGCAATTCCGTTCGAACTATGCGGGTGGACGGATCCGATGTGCCGGGGCCCGGGGGGACAGAGCGATGCTGAGACGATCCTGGCGGAGCGATGCTGTGGGTGTTGAGGGAGATTGGAGTACTGTTCTGCTGCATGACGTTGGATGTCAGGACCTTGCTTTAAAAAAAACAGCAGTCTGCGTACCTGGCAGCCCTGACAAATTGGGTTGTTTCCGGCTTCCTGGGCTGGACTTGTCTTTTTCGTTGGCTCGAAAAAGGCGATCCGTTTCGCTCAAGGACCGCTCACAGTTTCCAAACTGAGAGGCAACACAAGTATCAAGGAGGTTTCCGGTTCCCCAAAATGATGTTCCCAACAAAGGGAGTAAACCGCACCGTTTTTTGTAGGGAATCATTCAGGGTTTAGGGAATGAACCCAGGGATCGCTTGAACGCATTCCACAAGTAAGAGTTTATAAAGGTCATTCCCTCAGCCCCTGCGGAGAACGGAGAACCACACCACTCGTCGCTCGACGAGCCCTTGAACAAGGCATTTCTCTAAAAAATATTTTTAAATAGCCGTTGGTTTCCCTGTAAGTCAACCCCAAAATGGGTACCGACTCCAAAATTAACGACGCCCCAAAAACAAGAACGCCGGCGTGAGGTGAGACAGCTACACCCCAAGTTCACCGAGACCTTCTGTCGCTACGCCAACTACGGGGAGCCCATGCCAAACCCCTATGCCCAGGGAGAGGACGTTCAACGGGTCGGTTGGTTGATTTGTTCTAACGAAAATGAGTCTCACTCACTGATTTCCTGGACTTCATACTTGTTGGGAAGACCAACTGAGTGGAAAGCAAACAGTTCGGACTTGTTTTGGCCAACCCACTCAGGAAGTGACGAGGTTGTGAAAGTCATAGTGGCTCTAACATGATCGAACCAGGGGCAACCAACCCCTGCTCCCCTTGAAAGCAAAGACGAATGGGGACTGTGAAAGCAACCGTCTGCGAATTGTATAGCGAGCTTAGCCGGAGGTATAAGCTGACCGATGACAACAAAAAACAGAAAGCGGTTTTTGTGTGTTTTGAGAGCACCCTTTTCAGTTGCTTTTAGCAGAAACTAAAAGGAAAACAGCAATTTGTAGGTTCACCCTATGTTGACACATGGACCCCACATACCCAAATAAGGTGTTAGCCTTTTCTAGTCTCAACCGATCCGTATTTGTTTTTACGTGTCCCAACCCCTGGACAGCACGGAAAAAACACAGAGGTTGTTAAAGCAGTACGCAGTACGTATTTGGTGAACCGGAGGTAAAATGAGCTTATGTTGAAGTCCTGTATGTTTGTTATCTCCTCATTTCAGATTTTAGAAGTATGGTAATTATGGCACAAGTTGTAGAACACTTTGCGTGGTTCAAAGATACTTTGACCGAGGGCTGGCCTTGTCTTGGCCAATGCCTTCGGGCAATTCGAAGGGATGGGGAGTCAACAGTTGCCGTTGCAAGTGTCCGTTAGACAAGTGAACTCCCACAGGAGTTGATGTTTGAACAGGACAGTTATATAAAGCCTGATTGATGAATTGGATCGTGCCAGCCAGGAGAGAATCTGTCGCTTCTCGCGGAAGCAACCCCAATGAATTTGTTTATGGACCCGAGGTCAGCATAGGTGATTGCCATGCATAAACAGTCGAAGAGGCAAGGCATGAAGCGACCAGCAAATGGTTCGAGGTCCAGGCATCCCCCATTGGCATAAAGAACATATTTGAGTTGCATGTTGCAAAATGCGGGTTCCGAACTGCAATGACCCCTTCTGTCTGCTGGATGGACTGAACTTGATCACTGTTGGCAAACCATGCAAAACATTGATTCCACATACTTTTGAACTCGTTGCTTCCCAGTGACTTCATGCAATCTCTGCAATCTGCCCAAGCCTTGCTCGCGCTTCTTGCCCTCGTGAACTCCCGCGCAGGACGGCTTGCGCGTGGGGGAGAAGGGCGTTTGGCCCCGGCGCCGTGCTCCAGGGGACCCCAAGGCGGACGGAAAGGCCTCCGGCGCGGCGGAAGGTCAAGCCAAGGACCGTTGCAAGCACAGTTGGCTCGTGTCTTCCTTGGGTGTTTCTCAAAATTAGGGGGAAAATCTTCATGTGGTTGGCCTCCTTTCTTCTTTTTTCCCTGCCCGTTCAAGAAAGGGGCAGCCCTGTATGTTGAGAAAGACCCAACTGGGTCCCTTCAAGCGGTTGGATTTTGAGGGTTCACAACATGTCTGGTGGCGGTGGTTTTCCTCAAAACCGCTAGTCCACTCTAATGGACACAGTCAAGACAATTTCACTTTGCCAGCCACCAGACTGCTATCCCCCCCTTTCGCTTGTGCTGATCGCGTCAAATGGGAACAACCCTGAAGGAGGCACTGGGGGTGAAGCTTCACTCCCACCAGGACGGGGTCAAACATCGGGACACGGGGAAATTGGGGGAATCCGATGTAACATGGAAAAACAAATCACATCATGTGCCAAACGGACTTGGACTTTTTCAAGAAGCTTTGGTGTCATGTTTGTTTCCTTTGTCAGAACGTTTCCGCCAGGGTGACTAGTTAGACAGGGGCACAGAGTGATGAATTGCCTGAGCCGCCATTTTTGTCCAGCAGGCAGCAGAAATGGGCGTGTCTCAAGTCCAGGTGGCTGCAAGTAAAGGCGGTGCTTGCTCAGATGCCAAGGGTCACAATTCACCGCCCTTTGTTTCAAACGCTTCAGCCATCGTTTCCTCACCCAGGTTTCGGGCCATGGTTGGAGTCCGATACCTCGAGTTGGACTTGTTGGAATTTACTGTACGGGGCTTGTGGCTAAAACGTGTCCACCTCACCTCTCATTTTAGTGGTCTGCGAGCTCACCAATGAAGTCATGGAAGGTTCCTTTCATTGTGCTCCATGTTCTATTTCCAACCGATTTGCCGATTTGCCACAATGCAAAGGTTCCCGCAAGAAGTTGTGACCCACGGATGGTTTTCTGGGACATGGGGCCGCCTCACTTGACGAGTGGCCTCTGAGGAGCTAAGGAAGCTCTTGCGCCTGGTGCAAGATGAGGAGAGAGAGGAGAAGCGACCACAGAGGACCGGGGATGCGGGGGAATGGGGGGCCAACCACGCGGCCAGTATTTCCCATCCTTGCTTTCTTGAACGTTCCCTTTTGGTTCTTGCATTGCATTCCCATTTTGGGAAGTACTCCGTAGGAGGCTGAAACATCCCCTGTCGGGGCAAAGTGTAAAGGAGTCTTTCCTGGGTTTATATATTTGGAGATGCGACATGGGTCACCCTGTCATGCATCGCGCCATAAACATGGAGGGCATGCCTCTCTTGAATGGCGACCGTTTTAAATTACCCATATCAAATTGGTTAAATGCTTGGAGGCACGCCCCGGGACGCCACCGATAGGAAACTGCCAAGGAGTCTAAGAGCAGCTTAGGCCAATGATCCTGAACATCCAAACTCAGCTGCCCACGTTCTCTTTCCTGGTGTTTCATTGCTAATCATGCCGTGCGTTGTTTTTTTTGCCAGGCCCCATTGTTCAGGTAGTGCATGTAGGTGTGACGTGTTCCAAACACTCCGCGTGGATGAGATGAATCCACAATCTAACCGTTCATGTCATTTAGATGGTACTTGCCCGCCCTTGGACCACACTGTCCATTATATTTACCAACAACTCCGTCGACAGTGCCATGTGGGTAGTAGTGAACTACAATTCAGCTCTCATTGAGGTGGTGGTTGCCCTTATTTGGACTTCTGTCACGTAGGCAACATCAACAAAGTGCGCAGAATACAGTGTACATGAAGGTAAATGTTCTGTTGGAGTGTTCGGATGGGAAGCCGCCAACAAAGACTCCGGCATTCCGACATTCCCTGACGAAGGGGGCCGCATCCACTCCGACATCCTGGCAAGGGTGCTGGTTCTTTCTTTGACGCATGCAGCTGCCCCGCAACAGGTGCTTGAGCAAACGGGGGCGTTTGGGCTTTTCAACTAGACCCATCTTTGGGGTCTCTCCGGTGGGCTCGTAGTCCCCCTCACTGTGAGCCCAACGAAGCTGCACAGCATCTTCGAGGTCAATTCTGCGTCCCCGTTGCCTAAGCCAGGCAGTGGGAACCAACCACTTGCACAAAAGGGCAGATTTTGAGACACCAGCATGGAAGTCGATGAGTGGTACGTATCCCTTGTGAAAGCTGTTTCTGCATGGGTTTGACAGTGCAAGGCATGGAAGATATCTACACTCCCTGGAATTAAACAGGAAGTCCGTGCTCTCAGAAGTCCCTCTAACATGGAAGTCCCTTCACCGTCTTTTCCTGGGGAAATGCCTGTCTCTTTTTTTTACTGGGAAGGTGCGACCATCTCCTAACATAGAATCTGTGCCAGGTGCCCCTCGCCACTGCAATCCTGGGGTTTCCCAAAACAACCCTAGATTCTTCGGGGGGTCGGTTTCGAGCCTGCACTTCCATGTAAACGAACAAACGAGAGTGAACACACACGTTCTGACCGACGAAAGTATCCTAACATAGAACCTAAAAATGGGCCCTGCACTTCCATGTAAAGGAGAACACGTGCGCTTAACCTTGAAGTGCAGGCTCGTCGTTTGCCATATTGTTTTTCGGGGGTCAATAGGGAAACTATGATTATGTTAGGAGCGGTTTCGCATATCCCTGAGAAAAGTCGTGAAGCGGCAAAAGTCGTGAAGCGGCATTTCCCCGGTCGCTTAAAATTACGGTGTGTCCGCCCGCTAATGCTAGAAAATGCTGTTTCCGAGTCAATCTCACCCCCACATGCCCAGTTGTACGGCGTACGTAGGTGGGGTTCTGGGCCAGTTCTGGAATGGGTGTGGGGGGAGTTGGGTTTGTGTTAGGGGGGGGCTTAGGGTTTTTGAGGGTTTGAGGGAGCCGTTGCCCAAACCATCGTCGGAAGTCAGCTGCGTGTTCTGAAATGCGGAAGCCGACCAAAAAACCCCAGGGACTTCTATGTTAGCATTTATCAAAAGCCTGGTTTTTTCGCCTAACCTGCAAAAAAATAAGAAATAAAAGCTTCGGAGCTTCCTGTTTAATTCCAGGGAGTGTACCCGATATCACAGCTACTCTTTGTGCAAACGCATGTGTGTCAAATAGTTTTATTTTAGTTCTTGGTGTGCCGGCCTTTTTCCCTTTTAGTTCCGCCTTTCTGGTCTGTTTTTGGTCACAGCCCAAAAGATGATCACCTGTGGTTTCCCGTTTGTCCGCAAATGAGCAAGACGCCCAGACGTGTAGCGACACCGTTCCAGGGGTGCCCAGAGGCTTAGTACAAGTTGTTTCTTGGCACGCGCAATGTGATTGTTTGAGTGTTAATCAACTGATATGATTTCACCGCGCTGACTTTTCGAGACCCCCCTATTTGCTACCTCGCAAAAACTGCCCTAGTCGGTCACAAAAAGTCATTGCGAAACGCCAGCCATCATTATTTGTTGCTTCTTTGTGCTTCTAGGCAATGTCCTTTGTTGGCATTGGTTGCCTAAAGTAATGAATTGAACCACAAGGCAGCACACAAGCATGTTTGTTCAAGTAAGTGGGGATGGACACTGAGCCAAGATCAAAGCTGCGTCATGAACCTTAAACAGAAGCCAGAGCCTCGTGCGCAGGACTGATACAACCAGCCAGCTCCTGAGACATTCTGCGGAAACAGACAGGGAAGCAGCGGAGGGTTTGGGTCGGCCCTGAGCCAGTAGCAAAGTATAGGATGTAGCGGGCGCTTTTTTTGGTTTCAATTGTGGTAGCTTGCGTTACCTCCATCCGAGTTCCGTGCGCGATAGGTAGCTCCACGGCGGCCTCGCACGTGGGGCAGCTCAGTTCTGAGAGGTCGGGGCAACATGTTTGGCCTTCTATCCTCAAGTTCCTCCTAAAAGAATCATAGACTACTTGTTTTTGGTTTTACCGTATTCCTGGCGTAGTCCAACATGGCTAACACTGGAAGGTCTCGGGCCACAAGCGCTAACCGTAGACTTACTGGAAAGGTTGACTAAACCTCAGCATGAGGTTGGCCATTGCATAAATGCAGCTGTCCCACAGGAGAGCTGTGACCGCCTGACGGTGGTGGTGGACATCATCTCTAAAGGCGCGGCTACCTGGCTACCTGGGCTTTGCTCGGGTTGTGTTGCCTGTAGGTTGATGAAGGGAACAGGTCAATTTGGTTTTGTTTGCAGTGGGTTGACTCTGAGTCCGTCAACGTGACCGTTGCTCAAAATATTTCTTGGAGGGGATTCCAACCGCCTTTTGGAGATTTAGAGAGTATGATTTGGGCCCTGTGTCCAAGCCGGTGCCTTGGGTCCTTGTCCTTTATGAGAACGGTGGTTTTCCCCTCCATCAGCACAACCGGCAAGTGAACTGACTAGCGCAGAGCAAAGCGAAGTGCGGATGGCCCTTGGACTCAGGTTGCTGCACTCTGCGTCCCTTTACCACTTCTGGTGGTTTGCAGCATCACCTTTTGAACCAACTTGGATTCAGTGTCTTTGGGTGGGGCGATGTGTAAAGCGAATTAGTTGCTTCGAGACAATGAAGGACACAATTCAAGCATAGTGTTTGTCTTGAGCCAAGGGTTCAATTTGGAATTCCTTGCCAATCTGGCTTTAAATGAAACTTGACTATATGCTTAAACTGTTGTTCAATAACAAGAGAACATATTTTTGTTTCTTCTAGTTGGCCTGCCCCTTAAAACAAATGAGCAACCAATAGAAACTCAAGGAACATGCTGTTTCAGTCCTATTGATGAAATATATAAAGCAAACTAATTCATGTCTGTCCATTTTATTAATGAAGTTAATCACGCGTTGCTTTTTAGTCAAACATGTTATTTGGACAGGTGTTCATGTTACACTCCGGAGCTAAGGTCAACATTGAAATTGATTTACTTTGTTGTTTTTGTTTTGACAAATCGATTTTGTGTTTCACTGTTCCCAACAATGCAAACAACAAAACTCGATTTTCCAAACAAGAGAAACAATGACAGAAACCATGTGGGACAGTTCAGGATCTGGAGCCATGGGGTCTGGCATTGTGCATACGTTTTTGTTGACAACTTGAGGTGCGAACACGTTTCAATCAAGTGCAAAGAAATGAGTTTTCCAACAAAACAGGGCAGACCCCATGGGCACACCTCAGCATCTGGAGCCATGGGGTGTGGCATGTTTGTTTTCGAAGAGCTCGAGGTTGTCCACTCAAAGTCTGCAAATGTGTTTAGTCTGTGTGTTTTCTTTCCAGTTCGAGTTTTGGTTTGGAAAACTCGGGGCCCACGACAACGATCCCTTTGGGTGGTGGGGGTAACCCGTGGGGGTAACCCAAAGGAGCCCAAGCCCATAGGCCCAAATTTGCCGCGAGGGAGCTCGGTGGGGGTCATGGAGCTCATGGAGGGGCTCACCTACCAATGCACGGCGCGGGAGCCGTCGGCGCCGTCGGCGCCGTCGGAGTTTGAGAGCCGAAGCACCAGGGTTGTTGGGCCCGAAAATACCCGTTGGAGCTTGGTTCAACTGGGGTCTCTTGGTTCTGGATTTGATGGTTCAGTAAGTATGCAATGTTTTATGGCTAATTTTTCATTTACATGTCATGGGCCCCCTCCACTTCAGCAGTTGGGATCTGCTTTGGAAGGTTGTGGACCTCAGCAAATGCGTTTGAGGTTCCAAGATTGTTAGGGTTCAATCAATATGGGCCAGCATCCAGAATATGCTTGTGGGTGGGCAGCAAAAGCTGAGGTAGGTGTATTTGTTTGACCACTTATTTTTCATTTCTTGTTTTTTTTTTGGGGGGGGGGAACAAAAAAACGCACCGAAAAGCAACAGCGTAGAAACAGGGTGTACAGTTTGCAACATTTCTCGTTCAACGACCCCGTTTGAGGAACCTTTGACCACAGGTGCCTTGATGTTGGCCGTTTCTGGGGGTTATCAAAGTTGGACACTGGGGTTGCTGTCCGTCACCTTACCTGACCAAGGAGGTATCTTTGAGGATGGTGAAACCATGGCGGCCGGTACTGTACCGTGCGCTTGAGGGAAAATCAAGACACCCTAGTGTAGCGCTAAACGCCACTTGCCTTCCCTTTTCCGACTTGAAAGGATCCAATTCTTTTGTACAGGCTCATGCTTGGACCTGGAGTTGATCCAAGTTGCCACGGTCGCACCTGAAGATCCAGCTATGGACTTCGAAAGCCGGCTGTCGCGCGAAGAGCAGCTCAGCCATGAACGGATGACAGCCTTAAAACCGCGAAGATGACAGATTGACACAAACGCACTGGTCGGATGCGGGAGAGTGGTGCGGCTCTTCGGAAGTGTGGGCACGAAAGGACGCATGCGCGGTTGGTTTTGCCGCAGGACCCTTAAATGCGGGTCTTTGTGACTTCTTTGTCGAGGACACCCTGGGAGGCTCCACTGCATGTGCACTTGTTCCCCAGTTTGGACGGAACTCCGTCATGAAATCGAGTTAGTTCATGTGGGCTATAACACCACTCCGGGGTTTCAATGACACAGTACTGTGTTTTCAGCATAGCCAGGGCATTTATTCGGCGTGGTATGCTCAGGATCTTGCTGAGAGTGGTGCTGATGGCAACAAATTCACACATTGGCCACCAAAGGGTCACGATGGAATCCCAAAGCAAGAATGCATTGCACAAGGCGGACATCAAGATCCCCCAAAGGGGCTCGAATGTGTTGCGCAGGTGATCTCTTCGCCGTTGGCGGAGATTTACTCCATCTCCAAGTTTGACTTCATCAGGACCGTCACTTCGAGCTGAATCCATGTCTCAACGAAAGCCACTGATTTCCGCTGGAAATCTGACATTTGCATGCGGTATTGTGGAGATGTATACACAATGTATACATTTGGTTCAACTGAGGGAACCCGCTTTCTGAAAGACTGAGCAAACAAAGACATGTTACCTACTTTAAGTATAGTGGCTCGCCAGTCTGGCATCTTTGCGATCCAGCAGGATTGTCCAACTTAGCATTGCTCGAGTATAGTTTGTTTGTTCACACCATTTTGGAGCCGGTTTCAAGGCTTGCTTGCCACAATGACACCAACGTCCATATATCAGGCACACACTACGTGTTGGCCCTATCTCTTGGGTGCTTCTGCAACGCAACGGGGTCTTGTTCGCGCGTACATTTGTGTGGCGTCGCGCGGATGTAAACGACATGCTGCCGGGATTGATTAATTGTATCTCCGGATATATGCAGTTGTCCCCATTCAGGGGCGGTTGCAGTGCATGTTTGGCGAAGACACCTGGAAATGGAAGACAGTCATTATCGTTACAATCAACAGTTTGCTTTAACAAGAGTGCATGTTTGTTGCCATTTGGCTCCATTGTATCACTTTCCGATCTCCAATGACAATGTGTGTACCTGATCAATAGAGGGTTCCGGAATATCAGACAGTTCCACGAAGGACATCAGACACTTCCTGAAAGAAGGACACAAGTTTTGATTAGTTGCAGTTGTTGTTTCTGTTTACTATGGCTTCTAGATACAGCCAGCCAACCGGAGGCTTTGTCTTCAAGGGCAGCACCCAATGATTTGCCAGGAACGTCTCCAGGCCGATCACCCACCGCCTCTTCTGCAACTACAAGGCAGCCGAAGCGGGAGTTGACTTCACCCTTTGCTACCCTCTTCTTGGTGGCTCCCAGCCATCCCCTTAGCCTTTTAGCCTTTTAGTGTTTAGTGGGGATTTCCATTCAACCGACTAAAAGTTAAACTTTTAGCGGGGGATCTGAGGACAGCCCAGTCTTGTGAGCACAAATGAGCCCCACTTTTGAGGGCTGGTCCTTTGGGGCTCTAGCTTAAACCATTAGCCATTTTGAAAACCAGCCATTCCAGCTGTTTCAGGCCTGTTCCATTCTGTTCAACCATCGTTTTTTTAGCACCAGCCGTTCCTATGGTCTTTGGTAGTTTGCTGAAAACAAGCATATGGTTGTTCCTTGCATCACACGGTCGCAAGGAGTGTTGCCACCTTAAACTCATGTGTTACACCAGGGTGAAAGCACAAGGGACGAATCGAACGGGTACGTAAAAGGGGATCATCAAACCAACATGGGGGAATTGCATTTGCCAAGCATAGGTTCACCCAACTCAGGTTACCACGAGGCAACGAGAGAATCCCAGCTCAGACTTTGATCTTCCGCAAGAGCCGGCAAGGTTCATGATTAACCAGGGGGGTGTGCTTGTTTCGTTTCAGTACGTTATGCGTCAAATTTTGCGTCAAACTGAAATAAACATAATATTTGAATTGTGTTGTCTCATGTTTCATTATTACAGTTAATATGTACATTTGTATGATCTAGAATTGCCCCCCTTGGTCCCAGGATGCTTTGCCCAGGACTCTCGCTCAATACTTTGCCCTGAACTGTTTAGCATGGATCGATAGCAGGCGTTCAGCTCCGGGTGTGCCAGGGCTCCCCATATTTTCTCGTGTGTTGAGTCATCACCTTTTGGTCTGACGTTCATTTAGTTTGGTGATGTTTAAAGGGGAAACCTAGGGACCCTTGGCACGGGATGAATCAAGTGTTCGGAGCTTTCAAAAGTGCAGAGATTGATTCCAGGGTCGGGATGGGGTGTGTGAAAACCTGCTAACTGGGATCCAAGCACATGTTGATACATGTTTTTCCGCTACCAGCTAAGAAAGGGGCCCTAGAAATTTCAGAAGCTAGCCATCCAATTCGCCGCTATAGTCATCTTGTATGTGCCGCAGTATTTGTGTATCATTGGCCATCGTAGTGGGAACCTAGGGGTATTCAACCTCTGGCTGATAAATGGAGGGTGCCCCATCAAAGAGAGCATCCTTTACTTTTAGGAATACCCCCTGAGGATCCACCCGGTTGGTTATTCTAGAGGACATTGACTGGAATCAACGTCGCATTCCGGAGGCTCGTGTCTCTGACAAGCAGCTCATCATGCGCTTGGTGCAGAAGTACCGGCCGCAGCCTTGATTTTGTGGAGTTTGAGTACCCAGGTTTTACCATACCTGGGAAGGTTGGGCCAACCCCCTGACCAAGCATGTGGTTTATCGCCTTCAGCCTGCCTCCTTGTTAGTTTCCTTTGAACAGGTCTGGGGTCTAGTTGTTTGAACAAGCCTTTGCAAGCACACCTAAGAGAAGCCCCGCAGGTCTGGGTTTCCATTTGGGTCTGTATCAAGCCAGGGGAGCCCTCGTAAATACTCCCCTGTTCAAACATGTGAAACCACGCTTTGTTTCCGCAACCACCTTGCCTGCTCCCCTTTAAAGAGGGTCAGAGGGCTAGGAGCCCAACCCCGGCCTTGGGCGAAGCCCGCCCATTCGCTTGAGGTGGGAGCACTACAAGCGAGGGCTTCTGGAGGAGATCCGCAGCTGGCACAGCTGGGCAGCTCAGTGGCCTCGTGGAACACGGTTGGGTCGTTTCCTGTACCCAGATCCCACCGGGATCCTGGCTACAGTCAACTTTTTGTTGTCCTTTGTAGGAAAGGGGCTTTACATGGGGCCAACATGAAAAGACTGGGGCTGGGTCACCAGACTCCAGTGTCATCCGAGGGCACACGGAATTTTGCTGTGGCTCATAGGACGCAACTGTGTGATGGCCACTGTCCTTCGTGCAACTTCTGAGGTTCGGCCAGCCGCGGCATCATCGATAGGCAGGGCACAATCCGACTGAGCGTGCTTGATCCATGCAAGCTCCCAGAAGGCTTGGGCAGTTGTCAAAATCAGGGAGCCCTTGTTTTACCGTTGTTGTCAAGAAAGTCCAAGAGAGCACACACAGACATGAAATGGTCAAATGCCCTGAACCATGACCCCAACCCCCACAAGGAGCTTTGCCTATGGCACACCCGCACGTGAAATGCAGAAGTTATCTACTATGTTCGGAATGCTTCCCAAAGAGTCAGGAAGCTGAGGAATACTAACATGTCCAATGTCCGTTTATGCAAATTGATGATGTTCCCCTCAGGGCCCCATTTTTTTGAGCAACCCTGATGGTTTTGGTTTGTCTCTAAATACCTCCTAAAAAGGGGGGTCCCTGAATTGCAGGCTATCCCTTCTCCCATTTCAACTACTTTGAGGTCCCCATTCTTCTTGGCGGCCTGTTTCCCACTTGCACTGGTGAAGGGTTTCACGACAGTTTGGTAGACCACTGCTTTTCCCGTACCTATATGAAGTGCCAACACATTCTTGAATCTTTGTGGTGCTTCTCCGTGGTTTTGTTTCCCACTCCACCGCATTTACCACTATTGCACAGGTGCCCAGGTGCGGCATCTGCTTCGGACACAGCAGCTGAATTCACTCGGTGTTCGGGGTATAGGGAACCCTGTGCATGTGTGGGTGCCCCTGACAAATGCGCCACATTCCTACAACCATCACGGGCAGACCTATGGCGTACAAGATGTAGCTGCATAATTATGCGATATGCATGTTCTAGGTTCCCCCCATCCCCCAAAGTCATGATGCCGTCCTCCCCCCTCCTGTGGGTATATCATTTAAAAACATGTATGTGGATTTTCTGTCAGGGGCACCCCCCAAAAAGCACTTGCTTGAGCCGTGGTTCCAAGGCATTTCGCTTCCAAACAAAACACGCTCCTGTGCTGTGCAGGGAGGAGCCAGTGCCCTTCATCGGTGCCAGCGCGTTGGGGGACGAGGCAGTTTGGGCTGCGTGTGTGTGTGTGTGTGTGGGTTTGTGGGTTTCGAGGGACATGTTTCGGTTTCGAAGCTTGTTTGAATCGAACCTGCTTTGTAGTTGTTGTGGCGCCCTCCTTTCATTCGGACCCCACAGCGTGGATTGGTGAATCATTATAATTTACTGCCGTTTGGGTTGGCCTGCACAAAGGGTTTATGCTTTCATGTCCGAAACAGATGGGCAAAGTGAACTTAAACCAAGGGAGGGACTGGTGGATACCCCCCAAACTTGGCCGCGCTCATTCGAAAACTCAACAGTGCCAAGAGAGGTGTGGAGGACACAATAACTATGTTGTGCATCTAGAAAAACATCTTGCCTGCCGATATCGTCTTGTGGCGCTTTTGTACTGTCCATCAAGTCGGTGACAAGGCAATTGCCAGCTGAGTGATTTTACGGTGCCTACGCAAAAAATATGTGGAGGGCGGGCCAGGGCAGGAGGTCTCTAGTGTATGTTTTGTTTAGTCCGCCTCTGCAAGAAGCTCAGCCAGATGGTTGGCTGTTTACAGTTCCCTGAAACTTGGACCACCAAGCTTCCGGGGTTGCCCTCACTAGGGTCCAGCTTTACAGGGGGCCGTTTCGACTTTCAGTCGAGTCCAACTTTCGGGTCCCCTTCCTACCACCGGACATTTGGCAGGGGGCCCCAATGTTGGACCCCCCAGCATGGTGGCGTGGCGGCACCTGACAATTTGACCCCTGAAGCAGTGGCCGGGCCTCCTATGGGGCACAGCTTCCGGATGTCTATGATGGCTGGGCGGGCCTTTGAACCTGTTCCGAACTAGTGTATATTGTCTATATGCTTTTCCGGATGTTTAGCGAGGTTGGGCGGACCTGAGGCGGGCCTCGCGGAGGTAGTTTAAAATATGCGTTCGATTATTTGAAATAATTTGGGTATTGAATCGTGGGCAGCGAATACTATACAAATATATATATATATATATATACATACGACATGTATATTTCAATTTGTGCTCTCTTGAAAGCCATCAGCAGGAACTCGCCCGTAGAAGAGAACCCTGAAATTGGGGCCTGAGGGCTGTGGACAAGAATGCATGAGCGTGCGTTTTCTCCAGTCAAACCACCTGCGCAGACCTGCATCCGTGTGGGCAAGGGCGAGAAGCTTTGGGACCGTCGGGCCCAGCGCTGTCCTCAGAACTCGGCTGGGTTTTGCGGTATGCCGTGGTCGACAAGACCGGTAAATTGTTTTAGGGGATCCATCGCCATGACCCACATCAGAAGTTTTTGGCCGTGGCAAACCATATGTGTCTGACAATAGGGGGGGACCTCTGAAACGGTCGGCCTTTCCCTTTGAACGCGCCTCAAGGAGATTGCCCTTAACAGAAAGAAACTTACATGAGTGACTCTAATCATTGAGTAAACCCTGTTTTGTCGTGGTCGATTGGTGGTGTCCCGCACGACTACAGCAGATGATGAGAAATATTGACCATGTCTCCGCTATGTGTTTCAATCATGGTGGTCAACATTCCTCCCCGGGTAGTGATGCCCACTCAAGTATCCCTCATTAAAACAATCACACCCACACAGCAAACTTACGCGTAGTCCAGTGGCTGTTGTGTGTTTAAAACGTTTGCTTCGCGAGCCTTTTGACATGCTCTTTGTTGAAGGCAACCCTGAGTCACTTCCTCGGGGGAAAAAAAGAGCAACGCCATCTGCACAATGAGCATTTTTGGGGGCGGGTAGGGACGCTGTACGCCTTAATCATGTTGTCACAATGTCCTTTTGCAATAGAACGTGATCGATTGTGACCGCAAAACGAGAGACATCGGGTATTCGTGTCCATGTCAAAGATGCATCGCAGACCAACCCCCTCTAGGCCAAGGCCCCAGGTTGCCACAAGGCCTGAATTTTCTTCAGAACTCACGGGGGAGTTCTGGCCTCATTCGCACTCAGCTCCAAGCGAGTCAAAGAAGTATACCCGCAACGAGCAAAAAAGCAAAAGGACGCCCTTGGAGGGTTTCCAAAAAGGGACCCCAAGAAACCAAGCAGAAACTACCAGAGGGTCCTCCGATGAGCCCTCAGCCGGCCCATTTGGCACCAGCCGAACGCAGGACTCCGCCCAACGAGGCCTACGACCCCGACCGAGCGGCCGGGAGCCGCAGAATTGAAGTGACTTGGAAACGTCGACCCGACGCGGCTTCCATGGAATCGCCTGAGGGTAGTTTTTGAGTTTGCAAACTTTGCGGGCCTTGCATTTTTTTCAGACTTCGCCCTTGAAGGTCCGCAGCATGCTCCATACGGGCACGGCGGATTTGTGCAAGGCTTCAAACAGCAAATGCGGTCATTGTTGTCCATGTAGAACAACTGGACCGGACGCCTCATGCTTTGCCTGCGCGTGGTTCTCAGCAGGCAAAGCGATGGCACCTATGTAGGGATGTCGAATTTTCGGTTTTGAATTGTGAATACTCACCCATGTGTTGTCATCTGAGGCAAGGCCCGAATTGTTTCAACGTTGAACTGAAAGCAGGTCGGCTACATGCTGGGAGAGTAATGTTGGGGGTTACAACCAGTGAAACTGGGATGAACTAAGAGTGTGGGAGCAACCTGTCATAGCTACATTCAATACATGCACATATGCCTACATGTATACATGTATTCATAGATACACCTATACGTATGCGTGTGTATATATATATATATATATTTGTATGCATCACTGAATATATGCGTATAAACATACCTAGAACATCCTTCCGGCAGAAATTTCCGCCCATTTTGGGAAAAGGCACCTTTTTCCTCATGACGGCGTTTTTGACTTGGCGCCGGCGTTTTTTGCTTGTTCGCGATGAGGTACCTTAAGCATCGCTTGGCCCTACTCGCTTGGACTTCTGAGCACTGCTTTCGCTTTGAACTGCGATTCAATGGTGTTCCCTGCCGTTGATGGCTTGCTGGACTTCCATCTCTTTCTTTCTGATCAACCCATGGCTTGCTTTGATGCCCACATGGATGGGGGAAGTTTGGAGATCCTGGAAAGTGCAGGTGCGACAGAATATTCACAGGCGAGCACTCCTTTGTTATTTCTGGGAATGCCTGGTGATGTTTTAGGCCTTCACAACACGCCGGACACTCTTGGCAACGTGTTCTTGTCCAATGTTCGGAGCTTTCTGGCGGAATTCCCCGGGAAACGGGCGGAATTCCCCCGGAAACGGGCGGAATTCCCCGGTGCAATTCCCCGGGCGGAATTCCCCGGGAAACGGGCGGAATTCCCCCGGAAACGGGCGGAATTCCCCGGTGCAATTCCCCGGGCGGAATTCCCCAGGTCGAAAAACAGTGGACGTCCATCCCCCTTTGATCAGCCTTTGAGACCATCCTCTCAGTTGCGTGGCTGACTGCAAGCCTGCCATGGATCTGCAGGGTGTCTGCCATCGCCCGAGACGCGCCGAGACATGCTGGGTGGGCAAGGGAAACGATCGTTCGAGTCTAGACCTTCTCACAGCCTTTGCTGGCAAGACGGGCTGGGTGAAAATGGTTTGGTGGCGTCGTTCTTTGAAGCGTGCGTCAGTTGGGACAATTGCCAAAACATTGGCAACCATTGAGGGCTGAGTGCATCGTGGGCATCTAACTGTAGTGTTGCGGCGACGGCGTGTTTCCTTGGCTCGGGCGTTTTCCCCCATCCCCGGCGTTTTTTCCGAACAACGGCGGAAATTTCTGCCTTTGAGGAAACGGGCGGAAATTTCCGCCAACGGAGTTTCTAGGTATGCATACATATACATAATATGCTATACACATGTCAACACATCTTCATATTGTATACACATAAACACAGGCCATATTCCTTAGTGGCGCAAAGCTGATCGTCTGGCCTTTGGCTTGTGAACATTGTCCCGTGCTTGTTTCCTCCTCCTGAAGTGATGATGTATTTGTGCATACATGTATGCACAAGTTTCACAGCACACTGTGCCCTTAAAAGGCACAAAATGACGGCGAGGGTCCCGAAAAGGGTGCCGTCTTTTACCGTATTGATGATTGCCCTTGGGGATGCTCAAGACTCCGTTTGGTCTTCGTCTCAGCCCAACTTGCTCGCCCAAATCGCAGTGAGTTACAAGGGACCGTTGTGCCAACACGGTGCCCCCGCCCCGTGTTGGCCATTTGGGTGTGAGTCATTGGGTCACAGTCGGATTTGGCGCAATGGTGTCCGTTAGGAGTACAAACAACTCGGTAAAGTGATCGGGTTTTGAGAACTCGGGGCATGTACCCCCACATTCGATTGCAAGAAGGATCCTTTCGATTTATCTACATACAGGATGAAGTCCCCTTTTTTTCCTCGTGCTTTGCGGAAACCGCCAAAATATCCTTTGGCAGTGGCACCTGTTTGAGAGGGATGCAACTAGAAAGAACACGGGAGGTGCTCGAGTCGCGATCGCATCGAGGTGAAACAGATCTTCCACGTGCAATGTACGCGGGACGATGAAGGGAAGCCGGTGGTCAATGTCGAGAGGGAGGCCGGGGCTTCGGGGCTTCGGGGCTCCGGGGCTTCGGTTCGGCGCGAGTCCGAAGGCTCAGCTGATCCATTCGACGCTGCTAGGTCTTTGATAGCTAAAGTCCATTTGCCGTTGCTCAAACCAAAGGGCGCCAAATGCAAACCCGTGGCGCCAGACGCCATTGTTGGTGGTTGTGGCAGTTGCTTCCTTATAATGTGCTGGCACCTTTGGGGGCCTTCCAAAACAGTTCAATATTCTGGGCTAGACTAAATATGAGACAGAATCAGAAAAAGTTGATTATGGAGTACCCGAGATTTGGGTCTGGCAACTCTTTCAGCATCAATGTGCATGTGCGTTCCAATATACACACGGCCAGCCCCACACTGATCTTTCTCACCGATCCCGCAGAGAATCATCGGCACGGCTTTCGGCCACAGCTCGAGCCATGCCACTTTTGTCTGGGTTGTTCAATATCAATCCTTCATCCTTCGGCCAGATGGTAGTTGATTCCCTGGTGTCCCACCAAGTACGGATTACGGTTTAGGAATAACCCACCATGGTATTAGGTCCCCATTAAGTCCCCCAGGAAGGTCTCCATGGTTACCAACCACTTACTACGTAAGTGCCCGGCCCAGTTTGAGCAATCCAGAAAAGGGCCCAACTGGGGGTGGTTGTCCTTTTCAGTTTCCTTCAACAGAAGCGGGTGGCCTCAACAACAAGAAGCACCCATAACATAAGTGGTCCCCTCAGTTGGATCCACGGAGCTCAAAGGTTTGCAACCCATGTGTTGAGTGGAACCCTGCGCACCCCTCGAAGTGTTTGTCGCTGCGCCACTAAAAATTAAGAGTCCCCCGATTTGCGGTTTCCTTTTGGTTGTTCTTCAAATCCCAATTAATGTGTATCACCCAAACAAAGGATCTCCCCCCCATTTCTTCCCTAGGGTACCAAACAGGGCGACCCCCCCGTTCCACCATTACCACATTTCGCCCCCA